GATGTAAAAATCCTCAACTAAATTTTAACAAACCGAATTCAGCAATACATTAAAAGGATCATAGACATGATCAAGTGGGATTTAATCTGGGAATTCAAGGTTCTTTCAATATCTGCAAATCATTTAATGTGATGTACCACAGGGCGCCTGGGTGGCTCAGTTGGTTAAGCGACTGCCTTCAGCTCAGGTCATGATCCTGGAGTCCCGGGATCGAGTCCCACATCGGGCTCCCTGCTCAGCGGGGAGTCTGCTTCTCCCTCTGACTCTCCCCCCTCTCATGCTCTCTATCTCATTCTCTCTCTCAAATACATAAATTCTTTAAAAAAAAATGTGATGAACCACATACAAAACAAAGGATGAAAATCATAAGACCATCTCAATAGATGCAGAAAAAGCATTTGCTTAAATTCAACATTCACTTTTGATAAAGACTCTCAACAAAGTGAGTAAAGAGGGAATATACCACAACATAATAGAGGCCACGTATATGACAAACCCAGAGCTAACACCATACTCAATGGTGAAAGGCTAAAAGCTTTTCCTCTCAGATGAGGAACAAGTCTGCCCACTTATGCCATTTGTATTCAACAGTATGGGAAGTCCTAGTCACAACCATTAGGAAAGAAAAAGAAATAAAAGGCATCCAAATTGGACAGGAAGAAGTAAAACTGTTGCTATTTGCAGCTGACATACTATGTATAAAAAAAACCTAAAGCCTCCACCAAAAAACTATTAGAATAAGTGAATTCAGTGAAGTTGCGGGATACAAAATCAATATACAGTAATCAGTTGCATTTCTATACACTAATAATGAACTCTCAGAAACGGAAATTAACAATCCCGTTTACCATTACATCAAGAAGAATAAAGTACCGAGGAATAAATTTAATCAAGGAAGTGAAAGACCTGTAATCTCAAAACTGTAAGACATTGATGAAAGAAACTGAAGATGACACAAATAAATAATGATATACCATGTTCACAGACTGGAAGAATTAATATTGTCAAAACGTCCATACTACCCAAAGCAATCTATAGATTGAATGCAATCCCTATCAAAATACCAATGGCATTTTTCACATAACTAAAACAAATAATCCTAAAATCTGTATAGAACCACAAACAAAAACAAAAAACAAATAGCCAAAGCAATCTTGACAAAGAATAACAAAGCTGGAGGTAATCATGCTCCCAGATCTCAAAGTACACTACAAAGTAATCAAAAACAGACAAATAGATCAACAGAACACAACAGAGAGCCCAGAAGTAAATCCAGGTTACATGGTCAATTAATTTACAACAAAGGAGGCAAGAATGGGGAAAAGATAGTCTCTTTAATAAGTGATGTTGAGAAACCTGGACAGCTACATGAAAAATGAAACTGGGCTACTTTCTTATACCATATACAAAAATAAACTTAAAACGGATTAAAAACTTAAATATAAGACCTGAAACCATAAAACTCTTAAAACATAGGCAGTAAGTTATGTCTTTGACGTAAGTATTAACGGTATTGTTTTTGGATCTGTCTCCTTAGGCAAGGACAACAAAAGCAAACATTAACAAATGGGCCGGGGCACCTGGGTGGCTCAGTCGTTAAGCGTCTGCCTTCAGCTCAGGTCATGATCCTAGGGTCCCGGGATGGAGCCCTGCATCTGGCTCCTGCTTGGCGGGAAGCCTGCTTCTCCCTCTCCCACTCCCCCTGCCTGTGTTCCCTCTCTCGCTGTGTCTCTCTCTGTCAAATAAATAAATAAAATCTTAAAACAAAACAAAACAAACAAATGGGCCTACAACAAAATAAAAAGCTTTTGCACAGTGAAGGAAGCCATCAACAAAACGAAAAGGAAACCTACTGAATGGGAGAAGATATTTGCAAATTATACCCCAATAAGGGGTTAACATCCAAAATACATAAAAAACTCATACAACTCAATATCAAACAAACAATACGATTAAAAAATGAGAACACCTGAATAGACTTTTTTCCAAAGAAAACATACAAGAGAAGCAACAGGCACATGAAAAGATGCTCAACATCACTAATCACCAGGGAAATGCAAATCAAACCCACAATGAGAGGTCACCTCACACCTGTCAGAATGGCTAAAATCAAAAAGACAAGAAATTACAAGTGTTGGCAAGGGATGTGGAGAAAAGGGAACTCTCGTGCACTGTTGGTGGGAATGTAAATTGATGCAGCCACTGTGGGAAACAGTATGAAGGTTCCTCAAAAAGTTAAAAATAGAAATATCATACAATCCAGCAATTCCACTTCTTGGTATTTGCCGAAGAAAATGAAAAAAAAAAAAGAACTAAATGGAAAAGACATATATAATCCTATGTTCATTGCAGCATTATTTACAATAGCTAAGATATGGAAGCAACCTAATGTCCATCATAGTTGAATTCATAAAGAAGATGTGGTTTATACATATATAATGGAATATGACTCAGACATAAGAATGAAATCTTGCCATTTGGGACAAATATGGATGGATCTAGAGGGTGTTGTGCTAAGTGAAATAAGTAACAAAACAGAAACAGACTCATAGGTACAGAGGGTTGCCAGAGGGAACAGGGGTGGGAGGGATGGAGGAAACAGATGAAGGAAATGAAGAGGTACAATCTTCCCGTTATAAAGTAAATAAGAAAAGGGATGTAACAGGGAATCATAGTCAATAATATTGTAACAATCTTGTATGGTGATGTCACCAGCCAGACCCCAAGACCTGACCTTTACTACCCATCTCCTTGTACCCACCAACCTTGGTCCTGCATTTTTCCTTAAGCTCTTCTTTCCAGCTTCTGTCTTAACTCAGGCAAAAGACCCTGAGGGCATAATATCCCATTAATGAAACAGAAACTACCACTCAAGCAATACTAACTGCCCAGAGGAAGAGCTCTGGTGGTCCTAAACCCCTGACTCGGGCTTGTACAGATGGACCATGGAGTGACCTCCGGAATAACCAACAATTACCTTTACCTCATTATAATACTAATGTAATACCAAGGAGGAACACAAACCTCATTTACAGAACAACCCATTCACCCTTCCTGGGGGAGTCCCAGCTTTGAAAGTTATTCCCGAGGATCTCCTTATTTGATGCAAATAAAGCTTCCTTGGTGGGACAACTCACCTGGGTGTAGTTTCTGTGACTCACCAAGGAGCAAACTCCTGTTGGTTCTGTTACAGTAACAGATGTTTACTACACATAGTCAATAATACTGTAACAACTTTGTGGTGATAGATGTTAATTAGATTTATTGTGATCACTTCATAAATAATGTATATAAACTTCATATAAATACTGACTCAATGTTACACCTGAAACTAATACAATATTATATGTTAATTATTCTTCAATAAAAAAGAAGACACAAGTTTATCAGATCACGCAGGGCAACTTAACAGCAGGAGGAAAGAAGACGTTAATTGTGCTAAGCAAAATCAGCACTAACTGTCCTTTATGTTTACCACCCAAATCCTGAAGTTGCTCAAACAGAAATAAAACCGAATAATAAATTTAGAACAATACATTCACAGAAAATCTCTAACTTGGAATTTACTACTAAAAATAAAATAATAGCAAATAGTCCGGTACAACTACCAAAGATATTCATTTAACTCTTCTCATCTGTGAAGTGAGAATAAGAGTAACATTCACCTCACAGGTTTGTTCTGATTAAATGAATTAATAAAACAACGGAATAGTAAGTGCTTTATAAATTTTTGTTCTTATTTTAATAGAAGGCATTGCTCTTCCTCCTCCAAATTAAACAAGTCAAAAAGAAAAACAATCCAGGGGCGCCTGGGTGACGCAGTCGGTTAAGCCTCCGACTTTGGCTGGGGTCCTGATCTGGGCTCCTAGCTCAGCGTGAAGTCGGCTTGTCCCTCTCCCTCTGTCGCTCCCCAGGCTCACGCTCACGCGCTCTCTCTCTCAAATAAATAAAATCTGAGAAAAGAAAATGATATAGTTTCCCTTGTGGCTTAAAAAAAAAAAAAAAACTATGGCGGGGGGGTGTGCTGTGCATCAGCTGCAGGTTTAAAAGATAAAAGTACTCATCTAGTAGAAGTACCCATTAAATTGCTCCAGGGAAGCCTTAAAAGTCGTCAAACAGTCTAAAAGGGAAATGAAAGTGAAGCTTCCTACATTTACTTCCGCCAATTCTGTCATTATACCGCACAGCAGATACGCAGTAACCACATCTACGAGTTTCTATTAAGAAAAACAAAATCCTGCATTCCTCTTGGTTTACCATCTAGATGTAACCCCAACCTGTCATTAATTTAGACATTAGTCAAGACCTCAAAACTCTTCCTTCTGCTCCGTAAAATTCAGGAAGGGCGAATACGAGCAAAAAGAAAGGATAGCGAGATGCCATAGCCACATGCATAATTTACATGGTGACCAGAGAGAGTAACCCAGTTTAAACCATAGGCTTGCGTGAAACCAGTCATTCCCAAAGTACCCACAGGGACGGGTCCTGCTGTTGATTCGCTTCACAAAAAGCCATCGTCACGTTTTACGCACGGCCAAAGCCCACTGAGGTGACCTACGCTTCCGAACTTTTTAACACTGCAGTCAAATGACTCGGCATCTTGAACGAACGTGTTTTCAGAGAGTCCCGGAGAGCAGAGGAGGTCTGTCACTCAAAGTACAGACCCTGTCCTCCCGCGGGGGCAGGCGGCGCTCGGCCTGGGGCTGGCAGCCCGGTGAGGGGAGGGTCTGCGGCCGGGCAGCCCCCGCTGCCCGCGGCCGCCGCCGGGAGGGCCGGGCGGAAAGGGCCACAGCTCCCGCTGCGACTCCCTCCCGGGAGCTTCCCGCCACCCCGCCCCACGCGGCCGCGGAGAGGACCTGTGGAACCGGTACACCCGAGGCGTCCCACCCACCAAACTCCGACGTGGAGACAGCGACGTCCGCGGCCCCTCCTCGCCCGGCGCGCCCCCCGCCGCGGCCGCTCCCCGCCCTTCCCCGCGAACCGCCCGCAGGCCGACTCACCCCGGGACAGGCGTCGCAGGCGCCGGGCGCACCGGGTGCTCTCTCCGCCGCAGCGCGCCCTCCGGGAGCCCGGGATGCGTGGGCGACTACGGAAAGCCGAAAGAGTCAGCCCGCCTCCGTTTCCCGGTTCGCGGGCCCCCCCCCGAGGGCGTGGCCGGCGGCCCCGCCTCTGGGTGCGGGGCGTGCTCGGGGCACTGCGGGCGTGTGGCCCGGCCGGCTGCCGGTCGTCCCCGCGGTGGACCTTCGGCACAGCGTCCGGGGATTGGACCGCGACCGGCTTACTGCGGGACGGACGGAGGGGATGCACGGCAGAGGGTGTTTTAAAGAATTCCTGAGCGTGTCCGCCTGCTTCTGCCCGGTCGTCGGGGTGGGAGTGCGCGGAAATGGGCTGGAAAGGAGAAAACTGATGCTCTCTCCGCCCCACGTGTTTCCGCCCGCGCAGGGGTCCCGGCCTCTGCCTCGGGTCAGAGTCCAGATGGTGCTGTGAGCGATAACCCGACTTGGAGACGCCCCTTTTGGCCAGCACACAGCCTGGGTGTCAGAGGAAGGCTGGGGAAGTGGGTTCGCTACAGCGGCACTGCGCCCAGTCCGAAGCACCGCGTCTGGCTACTCTAACTTGGACTTGCAGCCGCTGAGGCTGACTCGCCAAGTCCTTTACGCGCTGGTTTTCTAAGCTACGCGCCTCCCTAGGGGAAAAAAAAAAAATGGCAGCAGAATGGGACACAGTTACGAGCAGACTTAGATAATCAGTGAATAACTGATTTCTCAGCTCAGTTCTCACTATTCTTGCTTCACCCACAGTGGCCGCTAGTTTGCTGTAAAAACAGAGAAATGTAAATAAGGTTATGTAAGCTACCCAAAACGGTTGGCTGCTCGCGGTTTTCTGTTCGGCACCGCAAAGATCTCATGTTCCTACGTGTCTCTACTTGATTTTTATCCACGTTCGTTTTGAAAGACCTGTTTTTGGTGTCGCCACTTTGGGCTTTCTTCTCGGTGGCTTCGGCTGTTATTATTTTTTGTAATTGAAGAATTCATTACAAATCCCATACCAGTGAACTCACGTTCCGATTTACTGTTACTTTTCTCTCTTTCTCCTATTCATTTTCCAAGTTTGATTCACTCTTCAGGAGCCAGTGTAAATAGCTGCATTTAACCCATGACGTGCACTACCTTGGATTTGTACTTATCCTTCTGTGCGTTGTGTTCTATCCAACTCGATTTTAAACCGAAAAAAGGAACTTGTCTTATATGCTCCCCACGCTCAGTGTGATGCTTCTCATGAAGTAGGCACTAAATGTTAGGTTGAAATAATAGGTTATTGATGAGGTGAGGAGCAATCAAATGTCTACACAGTTTTGCCTGGGTTTCGTACCTCTCCTTTGCAAAATAAGTTGAAATCAATACACAGCAGTTCTCTATTTCTTTGTTAAGTGGTATCTAGGTGCAAATGTGGCAAAGTAAAACAGCCTGAAATCCAGTGTTGGTGAACTAATTCTGGATTAAAGTGTCCACAAAGCCAGAGAACCTGTTCTTAGAAATAACCCATTCATTAGTCCCTGTTTTGTTCAATGAGCTCAGTATGTTTTTATATCATTTAAAATCTACAAATATATGCTGAATGCCCACCGAGACAAGGTACAGTGATAAGGAATATAAGTATACTAAAAGGTTTTTGTAGTATTTGCCTCATGGGACCCTTCTAGATGGAGAGAAGAGACCAAAACAAAACAAAACAAAACAAAAAAATGGAATCCCATATCTCCTTCTTGGATAATTGCAAGAGCCTCCTAATTGGTCCCCCTGCTTTTTGCTCTTGCTCCCCTACAATCTGATGTCAACACAGCAACCAGAAAGATCAGGACAAAATATAATTCAAACAATGTTACTACTCTGCTAAAATCTTCCACTAGCTGTTGTTCATTCTTTGGGTAGATACTGGAGTCCTTACATGATCCGCCTACCACCCACACACACTCTCACTTCTTTTCCTACTACATTCTTCCAGCAAGCACACTGGCCTTCTTGGTATTCCTAGGGCCTGTTTGGCACACTCGCCCCCCCCCCCCCACAGAACCTTTGCATTTGACAACCTTTTCCTCATTAAAGTCTACTCAAATACCAATTTTCAGTGAGCACTCTCCTGACCACCATATTTAAAATCTCAAACACCCTCCCAAAACACACACAAAATCCCTATCACTTTTCCTTGCTTTATTTTTCTCTAGCACTTACCATATTCTAATATGCTATATAATTTACCTTTTTACTTTATGTGACTTCACCCACCAAATGATAAGCTTCATGAGGACAGGGAGTTTTCACTACTCTTGCTTCAATGGGGTTTACATTCCAGCGGGGGACACAGAGAGTGAGGAGTTTCAGAGAAGAATAAAAAAGGGTAATGTAATTGGGAGCCATTGGGTGACTGCTTTAATTGGGCGCCGGGGAAATCCTTTGCAAAGAGGTGATGTTTAAACTGCTGGTGAATGAAAGAGGCAGCCAAGTGAAGATCTTGGGTAGGAGCATTCTAGGCAGAGGGAATAGTAATGGAAGATCCCTCTGGTTCTTGAGAAATGCATTTTAACGTGTTCAGGAATAGAGAGGTCACAAGCATGGCTGACACATAGTAAAGGAGACAATGATGTGAGATGAAATCATAGAATTTGATGAGGTCACCTACGAGAGTAGATAGATGGAGAATTTGACCTAGGACCGAGCCCTGGGGAGGTAAGTCAAGAAAAGTCAATGGAAGAGACTGAGAAGAGGCAGCCATGGAGACCTGCTGGGAGTGGTGTTCTGGAAGCCAAAGAAAGAAAGGTTCTTGGTTTTGTTTTGTTTTGTTTTTTTAAAGATCTTATTTATTTGACAGAGGGAGAGAGAGAGAGAGAGCACAAGTAGGCAGAGTGGCAGGCAGAGGGAGAGGGAGAAGCAGACTCCCCGCTGAGCAGGGAGCCGGATGCGGGACTCGATCCCAGGACTCTGGGATCATGACCTGAGCCAAAGGCAGCCACTTAACTGACTGAGCCCCCCAGGTGCCCCGAAAGAAAGTGTTTGAAGAGAGAACAAGCCAGTTGGTGCCACATGCTGCTGAGAACATAGAAGTGACCCATGGATTTAGCAACAGGGAGGTCATCAGTGATTCACTCTGAAGTGGGCTGAGAAATGTGAGGCGAAGTGGCAGAAATCAGGACTATCTATATTTTAAGAAGTTTAGCTGTGAAGAACAGAGCGACTGTTGTAGCTAAGGAAGCAGTGGGATAAAAAGAAGATTTTGATTTTGTTTTGTTTCTGTTTTTGTTTGTTTTAAAAAGAGAGGATACTGGGGCGCCTGGGTGGCTCAGTCGGTTAGGCAACCCACTCTTGATTTCGGTTCAGGTCATGATCTCAGGGTCATGGGATCTAGCTCCCAAGCAATCAGCGTGGAGTCTGCTTGTCCCTCTCCCACCCCCGACCCTCCCTCCCACTCTCCCACCCAACTTTACCCCCTACCCTGCCCTACCCTTCCACCCCCCATCTCATGCACATGTGCTCTCTCTCGTTCTCAAATAAATAAATTAATTATATCTTTAAAAAAAGAAGATACTACAGTGGTGCCTTGTAGACTTTCAACAAGTAATCCACAGTAACAACTACATTTACACTGTGAATTGTTGCATACATATTTAAAATTATGAAAACAAAAACTTTGCAAAACAATACTCTTGCATTCTAATTTTTCATTTTAAAAAAAAATGCTGCTTATAACCCACTGAATTGTTTGCAAGACCCATTAGTGGGTTGTAAACTGAGCCTTGAAAAACATTTTCAGGGGTGTATTGGAGCTGGCTCACACTGGCTTGCGAGAGCCAATTTTGCACATCTCTTCCATGTTGGTATCTTGAAATTCGCCAGGAATGGAAGTTTTTACACCACAGGCATAGACAACCACTGCAACCTAAGGCTTTCCCCCATTCACCCCAGTCTCCAAAGCTGGATATTAAACATTTGCCACCACATTACTGACCGTAATTCTATGCATGATCCAGTAGAACAGAGAACTCTAATGATGTAGGAGAAAGGGGATGGTTACAAGAGTGGTTCTTTAGATGATTTTGCCCCCAAAACACCATAATATACTTTCAGAAATCAGTTCAAAACAGTAACGTAGATGTCACAAAATTATTTGCAGACAGTTGCCTTAGACTTCCAAAGCTGAAGGGACCATCGCTAGTTGGAATCAATTTTTTTTCATCGCTACTGTCCTCTTTCTTCACCCAACAAGACACATATGTATGGTAAGCGTGGCTGCCAATTTAGAAATAGTATGATATAAAAATTGTGTCTTCTAAGCAAAATGTGAACTAACGTATATTGCCCCAATTTTGAAAAAAGTAGTAAAAAATGATATCGGATTTATGCATTGAAACTCTGTATGCTCTTGCTACTTGGTAGGATTACCACCTTACAAAGAAATACCTGCCATAGTTTGTTAATGATGTGAATTGTGTTGTTTAAAGGTAGGAAGCACTTCTGGTGGCGATTTTGCTTGTTATTGTGTTGCTGTGTTTTTGTTATTATAATTAAAAATGTTTTACCTCCGGGCGCCTGGGTGGCTCAGTTGGTTAAGCGACTGCCTTCGGCTCAGGTCATGACCCTGGAGTCCCGGGATCAAGTCCCACATCGGGCTCCCTGCTCGGCAGGGAGTCTGCTTCTCCCTCTGACCCTCCCCCCTCTCATGTGCTCTCTATCTCTCATTCTCTCTCTCTCAAATAAATAAATAAAATCTTAAAAAAAAAATTTTTTTTTTTACCTCCAAGCATTGATTGGATGGTGGTGCCAGGGCTGGGAAAATAGGCCTCAAATCAATAATTTTGGAATACAAGTTAGGTGTGCTAAAACACTGTAAAGAACTTTAAATAACTCCTTTGACAGATCATGCTGTGCATTTAGAAGTCAAAACTCTAGAACCTTTAGCAAGAATAATGATATATAAAAAAGCAATATTAAAAAATCTGCCACAATAGTTATAGATTTATGAGCTCTGAGAACATACACCTGCTTTCCATTTAGTCCCGTGAGAAAATTAGTCTTGAATTATGCAGATTTTAAATGATGCTGTCTTCGGGAG